TATAGAAAAAAGCAAGACCGCAATCCTAAAACAACACATAATTAAATCAAAAATAATATAAATTAGATCTAATAACCATACCCCCAACACAATAAATTAGCCATCGTAACAGACGCGGACTAGCTTTGCTCTTTACCATATTATTTTTATATGAGTCTATGACACTAGCAAAAAAATCTCAATATTTCCAGTGCGAGTGCAGCACGTTACATATAATACTATTGTGTACACCCCCATGCAACCACTTTGAGCTTTCGATCCCTAGTGGTCATTTAATCGCCTACAGAAACTCAGTCCTTTCAATTTCTAGTCAGCCAAAATGACACAAGTTTTATTTTATATAGGTTTTTGTACTGGGCCGATGGTGGCCGTATTGTGCCAGCTTGACAAATCTATTTTTTTGTCTGTGAGCCTCACTACCAGGACAAAAAATCAGTATTATCACCTCCCCCATTTTGTCCTATCAGACGCTTGGAAGCTTGTAAAAAGCTGTCGTGTAAACCAATCTTAAACTGCTATCGGCGAATTGCCAGGCGAAATATTTGTCAAAATTGTGCCCCTTTGACCGAAAAGAGGGAGTTCTAGGTAAAGCTGCTAAGACACATTCGGATTGAAGTTTCCAATTTCCTCGTTCGATGTATTTTCTTAGTAGGATCGTAATGGAAAGTGGGTCGTTAAACTTTTGACGAACATTACCGTTGGTACCATTTCATGACGATACAAGCACAAATGGCGAACTTGAAGTAGACGTTCAACACGATATAGTTTCACCGTCTTCCACCTTCTCCTACACGGAAGAAGCACTAAATGTTCCGTAGCGGAGTTTATCTTCATACTGATGGCACTTCCTTTGAATGTGATCTTTGCCAGCAGCCAACAAATAGGCCAACACTGCCAAAATCCACATCAGGACCCCAGGAATGCCCACAGACAAGAGCTTCCCACTCGACGGGTTGACAGCAGCAGCCACTCCTCGGATGAGATTTTCATCGCAACAGTAGAGATACATCCCCAGAACGAGAGCGCCCACTCCACATGCCCAACTCGCCATGCCAAATGGCCAGATCAACCCTACAAAGTCACAGCCAGTTAGGTACTCGAAGAAACTACAACAGTCACAGGCCGTACCGTGGTAGTAATGCAGCTTGTTGTAACAGATCTGGCCAGCAAACTTGTTGCGAAATAGCTTCTTGATGTCCATCGGAGCCTCAACGAGAACGTCAACTTGACCAGGATACACGTCGTCCGAGCCATCCACAAGGCTGGAGATTGAGCACTTGGGGTCCAGTTGGTTGCCTGCTACCACGAATGCCTTGACGGTAGCAGGAATTTTACCACGCTTCAGCTTGCGAATATGTTGAGCACTGAGCTCTTCGCCATTTGGCTTCGCAGAGTACAACGCGATTCTGCTGGAGGCAAAATCCACTTTGGTCTTCTACGCGAGTTTCTCTGGAATAGCGTCAACGAGATCACCCTCATCGAATGTCAGACGGATAGCAGCTCCAACGCCGATGACGATGCAGACCAGGCTTGACATTTTACTGAATGCAAAAGTGAGCCTTCAATTGCATCTAGCAGGAACTCGTGTGGTCCACGAAGTCGAATTAGCGTCGCCAGATTTCAAATGTGGCGAACAAACGATATTCATCTGGCTTCGAAGGCATGCATGGCTTCGCAGCCGATCGAGCTTTGGTGCGAGCTGTGTTCTCGTCAAGGCTCACAGCCCCTACGGGTACTACAATTGCAGCGAACTTTTCCTGGATCTGAGCCATAAGGCGCCAGCTGTGCCATAGTGGATCCTGTTCTCGCCGGTCAATAGGGACACTATCTGGGCTGGCGTCGATCAGAATCTCATACTAGTATTGACATTTTGATAAGAAATTTAAATGCGCTAAGTGACAGCGCTAAACTAATAAATGAATGACACTCGAGTGTCTGATCTTACAAACTATGACGCTTCAGAGGAAACGAGTTGGTCGAGGACGAGCGATTGTGATTGGTTTTCAGTGCACGTCGAGCACGGAGAATAAGTTGCTGACGTTCTCGCGTGTATTCGTCCGCGAAGCTGGCGATAAAGCCGAGCAACTCGTCGATCGGTAAAGCATCCTCTTCCTCGAAGTAATTCAAAAAGTGCTTTCTCTAAAAAAAAAGGCAAAAAAGTTAGTACAATGTCATAATGTCTTCAAAAGTATCAATCCAATATTACCTCTCTCTCAAGTTGATCGACGAGTTCTTGCACGCCGTTGAGCTCTTGTTCGACTTCCATGGCGTACAACCTCATGCTCTCCCGTGACTTGGCTAAATCTGCGCGTAGATCGGCGTCGTCAGTCTTGAAAACTGCCGCCTTTTGTGTCTCGTTGATCAGCATTCGAAGTCCGCCCTTGAGTGACTGGCACTCGGCAAATAGACTCTGGACAGATAGTTTACTGCACTTGGTGATTAAAGGCAACTGGTCACTAAACAGTGCGAGGTGTGGCTCATCACGCTGTTAAGAGAACGCACACAAGACGTTAGAAAAAGGTCTCACGAGGAAGATAATGCTGCGGTGCTTACCTCGACCGACTGGATTACATACTGCAGGAACGATATCCGTCCGTCGTATGCCTTTGTGAACGAAAGTTTCGCCAATGAGCTAATGGAAATACTCTTGACCCATTCTGTGTACTCCACTCCTTCGCCGAAGTTCAGTAGATTACCCAAATGGAAAACATACTCCAAGACGCCAGCGAAACGATCGCTTGCACATACTTGCTGGATACCTCGAATGAGCAACTTCAAATTGTCGCTAATTTATCAAATTACAGGGTCAGAAAACTCAAATGTTACAATAAAGCAGACGCAAAACTCACCGAAGTTCCTCGACTCGCGGTGCGAAATCCATCTTGAACTGGAGACAGCGTAGCTTTTGCTGTGCTCTCGGTATCTTGCGCGCTACTATTAAAAACTGCTCGGCCTAAATTACGCAGTAAAATTCCAGTCAGTCCTTCTCTACTCAGGTATTTCATGAGTAACTCTTCGATTCACTTACCGTAGCTAACCTCGACACGTCGCCATCGAATTGGTCGATTGCCTCTTGCTCCGCACTGTCAGGCCACATGTCGATTAACGACTGCAGAGCTGGACTGGATAACACGTCGCAATTCAATGTCAAAATTTCGTGAGTGAGCTCGGGAAAAGTTCGTTTCACACGTGCGAGAACAATGGCAATATTCTGTGATTTTTTGTGGTCCAGAAGCACGACATACAGTTTGCGGTGTAGGAACGCACTGCCCGGGTCTTTTGCCATTTCCTCCTCTCCACCCATTTCGACTTCCGGTTCACCCTGTTCGTCAAAGATAGCCGGATTCGAGTTTGCACGCTCGCGCTTCTCTTTTTCGAACAGAGATGACAAATTTTGTGACTTTTCGGGAGTTGCAGTGTTGCCACTGTTGGTTCGTCGTCGACCGACTTTTGCCTTTGCAACAACTTTGACAAAAAGCTTCTCCATCCAACGTCGACTTTCAGTTGAAATGCACACACGATCAAGCTTATCTTTGGCGTGGATTTTGCTCCAAAGGGAGTCACGGCGTTGAGCTGGGACGAGCGCCTCGGTGTATGGCGTTGTCGACCAGTGTAGCTTCTTGCGCATGCCATTGTTCATCTTACGAAGTGCCATCATGGCCAATGTGCGGCCGTTATTACTTGCCACAGTGGAGGCAGAGCGCGTGGCCAAGGCATCAGGTGTGGAAGGAGCGGTCGACACGACAGAACTGATACTGGAGCGTCTGGATCGTGCAGCTAGACTAGGAGGGAGTTCATTGTCGTCTGCAACGTTTACAGAGGACACAGTTGCAGGCTTTCCGTCTAGTTCCGCCGGGTCTACACCTTCTCTCCTGGCCTTCATCTCCACAAGATGACGCGGAACTCCTACCTTGATCATCCTCATAAATGACTCAACCTTCTGAGTGTGTTCTGGGTCCTTATCCTCGACTGGTTCTTGCACCTTTAGGATTTCAATAGGCGCTGGCACTTTCTTTGCCTTTGTCGTTGTTGCAATAAGCTCGTCTAATACGCTCGGGTCCTTGCTTTCAGCCCGCATTTTGTGGTCGACTACGACCCGTGGTAGACCCACTTTGAGCATCTGAAGGAAAGAGGCGTACTCGGTCCGAAGGGCGGTCAGTCTCGCTGCAGCACGTTCATCTTCGGCTGATAAGGTTGGTGTGGGTGGTAACACCTCGTCCTCCTTTACATCAGTGTTGCTACTGGTTTCTTCTTTCGCAGGTATCGTCTCGGTTTGTTCCTCAACTGTGTGGTCCTGTGTATGTTTACGTAGTTGCCGTTGGCAACACGCAGGCAACTCGCGTTCGTTGCAGGCGTGATTGTGGATGACTACGCGGCTCCAGCGTACGTAGGCAACAAGTACGAAGCTCACCAAGAGGTGAAAGATGAGCCAGGAATCTTCACTTGTCGAGACTGGAGGAGGGCAGGCACCGCAGTTCACTGCGCCGGAGTCGGCGCGCACGAAATTTCCGTCGTAGACTGGGCAGCTCTCGCTGTTCCCCATCGCAACAGCGTTGATAGTGGTGAAGTGGCTGCAAGCGTCTCAATTCGACCAACAGAACGCAGGCAGGTACTGTCGAGAGTAGCGTTGCTCTTATGCGGCGTGTAGGAACAATCAAGCGGCAATGAAGGCGCAAGCCAGCGAGTGAGCGAGATCACGAGCATGAGGCACGCGGCGCCCCGTCCGTTGCCGGCGGCCTGCTGCGACGCCCGCCAAGGAAGCTTCGCCGCAGTAGACGGCTCAAGTTATAACGGCAAGGTGCCCATCGAGCACGAAGTCATAGCAGCCGGGCGAGGACCCGCACGAGAGGCAATTTGGTGCGAAAAGCGGATATTTGAGCTTTTGCGTGCACCTAAATTAGCAACAAAAAAACAAAACAATAATCAGCAGTTGCTAATTGAGGACCTGCTTGCGTATTTTTTACACTATCGAAACCTGATTTTTCAATTGGCCGGCCCACCGCGTTCTTTCGATGTTCTTTTGCAAATCAGACCTCGAGGATACTTTTACTGCTGTTCAAAAGCAGCTGTTTGAGCCCTTTGAATGAAAAGTAGATTCACTTTTAGCTGTGATAATCGGGTGTAGCAGTGAGCGTCCTTTCAGCGGTTTCCGAAGGGTGGACTTGAGCGTTACAGGCACTGCTGAAACGGTCGACGTTGCAGATTTTGATTTAGGCTGTATGATACAGCCTCTATCGGCTGGCGCACCGAAGGGCAAAATCTTTGTAAGCGTAGAGCTCTCGCTACAGCATTTGACTAAGTCCAAAGAGCGCTTCGCAGTGCCTTACGTGGGAAGTAAAAGTATCACTGTACAGCCGCGTCGCAACGATAGATCGTGCACTTTCAGGTTGGAGAGGAGGGGGCGTTCGATGCCCTGGCGGCGGCCGCCATTGGCGAATTGTTCCGACGAAGCTTAGACTGCTCTATTTGATGCATAAATCTCCAAAGGAAAGGCATCAAATCAGTGATCTCCTTGCCTCATCTGTAACTCGAGAGAGCAACTGCAACTGCAACTGCGCCTGCCGTAGGTGGATTGTTTGAGCTACACCGAGTACAGTACATGCACATGTAGAAGTGCAGTCGTCGCAGGTGATTTCAAAATTGCCGTTGGCCATATTAATTTTATGGTACAGGTAGATATATTGTATTTTAGATCTGACAAGAGTCCATCATGGTACTGCCCTGTGACGTCGCCCACTTCAATGTTTTCTGTGGAGCTGGTGTATCGCAGCTTGGTCGCTCGTCGTTTGTGGTGGTACGGTGTAGCCTGGTCGATACATTGTGGGATCAGTTCAAGATGCATTGACACCCGTTGAACTGGGAGTCTGGTACTTCCAGGGCATGGGAAATTAAAATTTGCTCGATAATTAGGATTAATTAACCCTTACGCGCGCCTCTTGTATAGACTATAGTAAGCAACTAGAAATCATTTATATCTAAAGGGGGCATTTCTTGCCCTCATGGTACTCCTCTTGAACTATCTGCTGTAACAAGTCATTTAAGATTGGATGTTGATGCAATAAGCTTCTTAAATTTGACAAGATTAATGTAAACTAAAATGATTACGTGTCGTACTGTAAGCTTTATGTCGCAACAGATAGTTGAAAGGGAAAAACTAACGAGGGCCCTTCTAGAGAGCGCCCTCACACAAAACAGGGGTATTACCGGTACTGTAACCGGTACAGCGCTACCGTACTGTGCCGATACAGTAGACGAAAGGTTGTTAACATATTGAAAGGTTGTAAGAGTACCATTACTGTGGATGGGGTTGCCGTACTCGAATGGCTGGCGTGTACAGGAGCTCAGTAGCAAGTACCACAAACCAAGTTGCCGTATAATGGAGAAGGAGAACCCCCCGCTCTTTTTAATTCCACCTCCACCTCAAGCCAACTACTCGTCTCATGACGAAGCAGAAGCCGCATTACATGCCTGGACCTTAAGCCACGGTTTTAATGTATCTCGACGCCGTGTACGCTACAACGATGATGAAGACGTTTGGGTGCGAAATTATGAGTGTGATCGAGCTGGTGTGCCCAAGAACACACATAATCTAACTGAATCCGACCGTCAGCGCCCTTTGCGGGGATCGAAGCGCTCAGAGTGCCCTATGAGAATTGGTATCCGTGCAGCGAGCAAACAGCACCCGACTGGGCCCTGGAAAATCGTTCACACGGCACGAAGCTCACACCACAACCACGTGCCCTCTCGTGACGCCCGGGTTCATGCAGCGCATCGTCGCCGGGCTGCAGCTTCCACTACTGTTGTTGTCGCTGACACTGCTAGTGACCTTGTTAGTCTACAAATTGCTGCTGGTATCTCTGTATCAGACATTCAAGCCACACTTCTTACTGTCGACCCCAACTCTCTAGTGATTGCAAAGGATATTGTAAACGCCAAGAATGCGACGCGCCGCCATGAACTGGCTAGCCACACCTCGATCGAGGCTTTGTTTGAGCAGCTCAATAATTACAACTTCTTTTATCGATGGACAACAAACCCAGAGACTCACCAGGTCAGACACCTCTTTGGGCTCATCCTGCAACGACCGCGTTGTACCGGCAGCATTGTGGAGTATTGATAACCGATTGTACCTACAACGCAAACCAGTACAAGTTGCCATTGCTCAATGTGATTACAATTACTGGGGCAAATACGGTTTTGCCTGTTGCTCAATGCTGGCTGCCAGGAGAGACCGAGGAGGATTACGTCTGGGCATTCAACATGCTACAACTTTTGCTTGTGGAGAATGAGATTGACCAACCCCGCGTGATATTAACGGATCGCGATTTAGCTTGTATGAACGCCCTCGATAGGGTGTTCCATCGAGATACTGAAATGCGGTAATGATATCAAACAAGTTGAAGTGCTCAAACCACATCAACAAAGTTTATAGAAAAAATGAATAGAACATATCATAAAAATAACAATATAAATTGAATTGAGCTATTGGGTTAAGAGTGTTTGCGGCTAATGTGACTCCTCAAACTACTTTTCACTGAAAACGAATTTTGGCACAGATCACACGAGTAGGTTCCCTTCGCGTTCTGTAATTGCTGCCGAATCCCCCGGTGTTGTTGTCCGACTGGGTTAGATAAGCAAAAGTAGCAATGGTTACGCAATCGATTAAAAGATGCATCAGCGTAACCGCAGTATTGACAGGTAAAACTTGAGGTTAAAGCAGACATGACAATATCTGGTACCCACGAAACACCTTCAAATTGCAAGTAGCAGTGGACTCTGTAGTTGTGCTGTGAGCAGCTTACTCCAGCGTGAATAAGATCGCCCCGAAAAACAATGCAGTAACCAATAGGGATATCCACCAACCGGGATCGCTCCTCGCGTGCCACAGTGTAACATCTGGCGTATACTCTTAATTGTGTCCCACTTTCGAGCGCGACAACGACACTAGCTGGAATGCTGCGGGGAAAACGCATCTTGACAGCTTCCACATCGCTACTTGTGAAGTCTGCATGCGGTCCTTGCTCAGGCCCACCGGGGCGCGGGTACAAAAATGATTAAACTTGTGCTCGAAAGCTTGCATCGACTAGTGTAACCACCTCTTCAATTTTCCTGTGGAGCTTTTTCATCTGTGGCGAAAGGGTGAAAGTAAGGAGGGCCATTCCGCGGAGGGCCATGGGACAGACTGTGCGCAGAGACGACACCAAAAAAATCTTTTGTAGCAGCAGTTTTTCATATAATAAAAGAGAGTGGGTATCTTGCCCGACTGGGATTGCCCTTCCCCTACGCATCCCTTTCTCTTACCGAGCTGGTTCATCCGTACAACAGTATACATCGTATACCACCGTGAGCCACACAATTCGTTAACGGGGAGAGCGTGAGCGACAAGCATGGATCTCCGCACGCGCGCAGCGCAAAAGCGCCCTCTTACTCATTCAGCTGAGTGGGAGTCCGATGAGAGCGAGGGTAATAGCTCGGATGCGCCTCCTGCTGACGTCTGGGCGCCTTCCCTCGTCGTGAGTGAGCTTAATACGACACATATTCCGTTGGAGCCAGTGAGCTGCTCCGATCCGCCGGAATCCACCAGCAGCACAAGCGAAGGTGGTAGCTCCGTCCGCGTACTCGCCTTGGCGCCTAAGAAGGTTGAGTTTCCCTCCTGGGAGGTGTCCGTGTATACGCGCTGGACACGTATACTTGGAGTGCGTTTCCTGTGATTGCACAACTGAACCTTTATCTAGTCGGGGTCAGTCGGGCATCCGTCGGGTTGGGTCGGGCAATGTAGCCTGACTCTTTCACACCCAGTCGGGCTAGATAACGAGTGCCATAATAAAATCGAGTTATTACAAGCCGTGTCCGTCTCTAAGCGGCGTGTCCGTTGCAATATTTCAGTATACAAAATCTAATACTAATTTGGCCGTGTCCGTCCCACAGAGGCGTGTCCGTCCCAATATTTAAAACTTCTTGTCCTTACCGGTGGGTAAGAACGTAAGGAAAAGATATCTACATGGAGGACGATCCTTCTAAACTATCATGTCCTCATCATTTTCCAAAACACATTCCAGCACTCAATAAAACACTCTTACGCAATCCAATACAAGCTCTCCAGCAGTTCAGAGGCATCTAAGATGACAGACAACGTGAATTCTCTAGCTGTGACTTTAAGTTTATCTGCTACGATCCCTGCCGAGACCACTTTTTCCGCGTCTTCCAGTGACTCCGTTCAGGCTCAATACAACCTCAGTGAAGGACGTTCGCGCAGTACAGGATGCGATGACGAGGGATTGTTGTGCTTGGATGCAGTCGACGAATTGGGTCGATCTTTATCATCCAGCAACACCGCCTATGGTAGCCACCAACCACGACCCTGCAGTCACAATACTTCCTCCACTTTCAAATTCGATCGGTACAAATATACAAGACAGCTCGACCTATCACGAGCACAATATCCCACCCAGATATTGGGGATACGCGAGCTTTAGTTAAATTAACAAGAAGATATTACGAAAAAAGCGCCCAAACTTTTTTATTCACTTCTCTCTACGAATC